GATAACATCAGAGGTGGAGATACCCTCTGTCCTCTGAGTGGCCACAAACATTCCTGATACGAATAAGTAAATTCTGTATTTTAGTTAAGTGACAAAAGCAACTGCACCACTTGCACTGATTTCATTGATTTATGTTCATCTACCTGCTGCTTTGATGTCCTTATAAACGTCCTCTGACCCAGCAGATGTGTAAGGAATGTCATCATGGGCCACAAAGTCAATCTATCAGTGGAAGAAGGGAGTGTTTGGACTACTTAAGCTCACATATCTTTATATGATATGATTTAGTGCATTTCTGTGCAACTGTCTGATACTATAATAGTATTCCCTGTCACAGCACAAACTTTGACCTTGTGTTTCTTGAGGAACTCTGGGGTAAGTGTCCAAGGAGCATCTCGCACCACCTCGTCAACGTAACGACAGTGCCTGAGTGCTTCGTAGCGCTCGTCCTCTGTCATCACCGTGTAGCCTTTCAACTTGTGGGTGAGTTCATCACTGCACACTAGTCACAAAAAGAAATACATTTAGTATCTTATATTAAAACTGTAAAGATATAAACTGGTGTTAAAATAAATTAATAATAGAAAATTTGACTAAGTTTCATTTATTTAGATTGGGATTTATGGACATAGGTAGCAAAAGGTAATCACAACCCTTAAACCTTTTCACATTTTTCATCTTTTTATTGCAAATTTTGATGTGTTTTACTGGGATTTTGAAGTGATCAACACAAGGAGGAGCCTAATTATGAAGTGGACATGTTCATGTTTAGAAAACTCGACAAAGTGTTTAATATTATCCAAACTTCTGAACATATCATGGAAAACTGCTGTTCAGATTACTTCCATTCTGAAAAACTGAGTGGGAGTGGAAAAAGTTAATGTTGCAAGAATCAATGAGTGACAATTTTATATTTGCAAATCTGGCAAAGGGTTAACTGAGTGCCAGAGATCAACAATTAAGATTTTTTATGTTACAATTAGGTGTCCAATATTCGTTCCATTTCACAATTATGCACTCCTTTGTGTAAGTCTATTACATAAAATCCCAATAAAATACCCTTATGTTTTAGATTATAAACACGCAAATATGAAAAGCTTTAAGAGGCATATTTTATATCCTCCAAACAAAATTCTAGTCTTCACCTCCAACTATCAAGTAAGTATTTGGGAAAACATTTTTGGCTTGCATCAGGGCCCGAGCATGTCCCGAATGGAAGAGATCAAAGATGCCATCAGCATACACTCTCACCGGCCGTTGAGCTGCAACAAAGCAACACGGAGGCATGAACCTTCACATTGAGAGCAGAAACTGAGATAACACTTTCAGACTCTCTTTTTTTACACTTATTTATCATATATCATGATGAATTACAGCACAGATAGAATGCACTGATACTGAAGTCCATATCTAGATTTGTAAATCAATAAAATGACATCATTCAACAGTTTGTTGCTTTCCCTTACTTCTTGCTTCCACTATCAAGTGCTGCTTGAATTTTGATTTCAAGACATCAATTTTCAACAAAAATACAAATCCTACCTGGAGTTCCCTTCCGTGCTTGAGCAATAGTCAGCTTTTCATGTGGCATCTCTGTCTCATAACCTGTTTGTCTTGCAAACGGTGCTGGTTCCCGCAGAGCCTGAGGACACAACGATAATATGAAGTATGCAATAAATGCTCTTTGTCTTAGAATGTCGTTATCTTGCTGCACGTCATACCAAACATGCATTTTTCTAAGTTGCAAGTATGTCTATCTGGAATAGAAAGGAGGCAAAAAAGGGGCCTGCAAATTGACAGGTCAGGATTTGCCTTTACTGCTGACATTGTAAAAAAAAAAATTAAATCAAGATAAACTTTTATAGTATCTCCCAGATCTCAATCTCTGTCCTGAAGCAACAAGTTTCTACTCTGCGTTTCTGTCTAGCATGGACTTTGTGTTGTGAGCAGGTTCACATATATACAACTTTATCAGCTGTGATGTAAGATATACTTTGAACCTCTGCTCAGGTTCAAATGTGCGGGGTGTAGAGTCAGTGTAAACATTGGCTTAAACATGTTTCAGCACTGAAACCACACGAGATAGATAAATCCTCAAATTTTATATTACAGAACACAAATACTTGCATGCAAGGACTTTTATGACAATAAAAAATGACTAATTTAAATGATAACTTCAACAGTTTATTTCAATTATTTGTTTCACATTCCTTTAAAGTTACAACAACAATGTATTACAGCTACGGCATTTTATTCAAAGTAATATTTCAAATCAAACAGCAACACATATGTCCAAATATACGTCTCTGATACTGAAAGTTATTCATATGAACATTGGTCATTTTTAGTTGTCACGCATAAAAAAAATTGGATCCCTGCTTAATTTCATGACTGAATCTACCTTTCGTGGGCCTCCTCTGCGGTTCTGTGGAGTCTCTCTGTGCTGGTTGTTGTTGCTGCTTCGGCCTCGTCTCCTTCTAGCCATTGCTGATCTTCCGCTGTGAATTCGCCTGCTGCTCCTCTCTGCTGGTCTGGCTAGTCAACAAAGGAGATTTCTGAGCATGTGCGTCTCTTTAAGTTTACATCCCATCAGTCCGTCTGACCCCGATGACGAGAGAACTGGGTGAGCAAAGTACAAGCCACTCTGCTGAAGGTGTTCGGAAATCTAGTGTGTTTGCAATCAATACAGATCTGTCTTCCTTTGACGGAAAGGATTTTTCTTTGTGTGTAGTGTCACTTTGTACTAGTTGTTTAAGACATTTTATAGCTGGGTAATGCATTCCTTGCAAAAGTCATAGTCTTAGAATCTTTTCCACATTTAAGGGCCAATACAAAAATGCATGATTGTGAAGTGGAATTAATATTATGATCAATAATAAAATGTTTTACTTGGTGAGGTGAATTGAGTTACTGTTATAAATTAACCTTTGTAATTTATTGAATATGACAGTATTTGCCTTCCAAAGTCCACTTTTTATTATAGTTTCAGTTTAATGCAAATGTTCTTCATAAGGGAATCATCAGAAAGGTCGGAAATTAAGGTGCAGAGAAATTTAAAGCAATAAAACAATGTTCAGACTCACCAACCAGTAGCAATAATTCATGCATAACATGACGAGGTGCTCTGTCAGATAAGGCTGAAACTGAACTTCTTTGTCCACAAGCAAATTATATTGAACACGTAGATCAGGGCACAGATGGGTGAAACTAAGTACAACAGCAGTTATTCAACAAACCTGTCAGGTACGTTTCGATTTTTTTTTCTCCATTTGCCTTATCCAGGTTGGCTTGGTTACAAGGTTGGGTTCTCTAGAGACCTGGAGCTTGAGAAATTTGCAGAGTTTTTGAGCCGTTCCGATGATTGTGTTTTCAGAGACCTCTAAAAGGTCTCAGAGATTGCTTCTGGTTTCTAACGAAGCTACTTTCTCTTCTTAGGTATCAAAGTTATGACTCCTTCAATAAACACAGTTGCCTTTTCTATAACCTCTATAACCTCATTCGTGTTCTCGTTCAGCTCTTGAAATTTCTCAAGCTTTTAATGTCCCTTGAAATTACTTCCACCCTTTTTTCCTACTTTGTCTACAAATACAAGCTCCAGTTTGCAGACTTCTGGTTCCGGAAGTCCCACCAGGTCTTACCTCCATCATTCTCCACCAAATATGGCAACATCTTGCATTTTGACTGTGGGGGACCTCCACCCTATACTCAACACATATATATTCCTGTGCTAACTAGTTGGTTAATGCACAACTACCTACCAGGTTCTAACACTCAGCATTTATCCCCAGGACTCTTTCAGCTATTTGTAGCACTACTCAACATTTTGTCAATCTTTCAGTGTTATACACAATGTAGAGTTGCATGCTAAAGTCCCAAATACTTTTTTTTTTCTCTTATACTCTGGATTTCTCCTTCCTAAGACATTCATGCAGCAGTTCATCAACCTGGTGCACTCACTTGTTTTTCTAATTCCTCCTTCTGCAGTTTTATGATTCTGGAATTTGGGTGAAAACTTTTGTCCGTATCCTAGAACTAGTGGGTTCCATCTTTTCAACAGCTGGTTGTCGGTAGTAGGGGTCCGCTGATAAATCGGGCCCAGTTTCATTGAACATCTGCATTTATCCATGGTCTCATTGAGCTCGCCATGAATACTCTCAGTGTATTGTTGATATGATAAAGTTCCAAGCTGTCTTAATTCCATGTTTGGTGTAGAGTTATGTTAATTCAGGACATCTTTGTCTGGATAGTCTTGCAATTTATAGTGACAGGTCTTTCAACTGGTAGCTGGTGTTTACTCCATCACAAGCACTAAACTCTCTGTGTAAGTATTTGATTTGTCTTGGAACTTACCTATTTCAAAGAAGTGGGATGTGTGCTCACCAACCAGTAGCAATAATTCATGCATAACATGACATCACAGTTTAGGGCATCTCCAAAGAGAAGTTTTCAAGAAAAACAGGAATCCTTAAAGAATTTGTAAAGCAGAAAAACTACAAATACTAACATCACAACACATGTTGGAAATGATGTTTTAATTGTACTTTTTACATGTTATTTTACCTTTATTTACATGTAAAAATAACCCCACATTAAATCATTCCTTCTGAAGGGCAAGTAAAGAATTGGCACACCTTAAAGGTGTCATTCAGTTTTTCAAGCAAGTTTAACCTGTAATTGCCAGTACTGTAGCAAATTGTGAGAAAACTTTTACATTAATTAAATGTAGTATGGTGAAGCCCTGCCTTTTAGAAAGCCCCTGTAATTTTCAGTTTTACTAATGGTTTTTTATAAAATGTGTTTTAGAAATGCATTTTATGTTGTTTACTTTTTTCCTTTGAGCAGCTTAAAATCATTTTAGCTAAAAAATAAATAAATAAATAACTACAAAATCACTCACAGAACCAGTTTAAACCAAGACTGACTTCATTGGTATTTTTTCACCTTTGAGCATAATAGCCCTAAGAAAGGGGAGTGGTTATTTCTGAGACAAGTTGCCAGGCGGTAGTATTGCTCTACTGTTCCACCTCTCACTTCCTGGATTAAATGCTTCTCAAATATATGGAGATCAAAACAGAGTAGCACTCTGAACCTCTGGACTTTTGACACAGCTCTCAGAAAACACCACACCTAAAGGTAAGGTTTAAAAACAACACTTCCCATCAGGAATTAATCTAGTGAGAACAAAGAATAGTTACTAAATATGTGGTGTCAGCTGTTGGTGAGAAAACCAGTGTTTTAAAAGCCAGTGGGAACGGGCAGGAGAAACTAAAGCTGTCAATTTCTCAGTTATTGGTTGTGGGTGGAGACAGTAAATTAAACTGATTTATTTGTCCTTTGGTTCCCTAAGATTCACTTTCACTGTAAATAAGTAACACATTTTATGTTCCTGTCCTTGCTTTAATTACACGAAGGAGTCCTTAGATAAGAAAGACAGCTTTTGACTTCCCTCTGTGTCTATCTGAGAGGATAAAACAATCACTTAAACAACAGTTGTGGTTTCATGATAAATTAAATACTGAGTTATGCTTAAATTGTTTAAATCAGATTAAAATCAATGTCTCTATCTTTCTAGATTTCACTTGCTGCGGCTGAACATGTTTCTGTGGTCTTGTCTGACACCTTTCCTGCTGATAACAGTTCAACTATGCAAAGGTAGTATGCAACATGTCACAGAAATGGTTAACACAAGTCTAAGCATTATATCTTTAACTGGCTGATATTTAAATACAAAACCACATACATGCTGATTTTTGACCTTAGGTATATCACAAGTTAAGCCTTAACTGCAGACCAACCACAGCTGTGGAACTGAGATTTCTTGAGAAAATTGTTTTTTTTATTGCAATATCCTTGGTTTGTGGTTGTTTATGCACTTTGCTCTGTCGGAGTGTTGAGGCTGATGCTGTTATTTTTGTTGCAGTATGTGAATTGTCATCCAGGGCTATTTGTCCTGAGGCAGAAGTATTGAAGCCTACAGCTACATCTAATTAAAATATTCACCCTCCTCGGGTTGTTCTCATCTGTTCACTACACATGTGAACAGATATTTTGCTGTTATGTTGTTTAATAACCAAATACAAAGTAGTAAACATATGTGAAAAAGAAGCAGAGAGATGTATGACTGGGAATTTTTACTATGAAAAATTGTGACATGCATTTGAATCCCCCACTGTATGATTATCTTGTTTTACTGCTGAAAGAAGTACCTCTAGTCCAGTCGCAAATCTGTAGGATCCAACATTTTGAACCAGCTTCCCAGATTCTACTAAAAGAAAATCTATGATGCTGCCACTACAATGTGGCGCAACATATCACAATGTCCTGAAATAAAATCTTATTTTCTTAATTTATTTTGTTTGTTTGTTTTTACTAGGATCCCCAGACCAAAGATGTGAGGAATTCACAGATCTAGACATAACTCATGCCATCATCGGCACAAGCCTCAGAATCAGGCTGCTGCTTTACACCAGGGACAATGATGACTGTGGTGTGCTCCTGTCCCACACCAAACTGGCAGAGTATCCTGAGTTTAAAATGTCCAACCCCACCACTTTCATCATCCATGGCTATCGCCCCACAGGATCTCCACCGATCTGGTTGAGCAACTTCACAAAGTTGCTGTTGGCCAAGCAAGACATGAATGTTGTGGTAGTGGACTGGAACTATGGAGCTGCTAATCTTAATTATTTTAAGGTGGTTGAGAAAACATACAAAGTGGCAGACAACCTCACAGCTTTCATTAAAGTGATGCAGGTACAAAGTGTCTCTGATCCTCTATAACCAAATCTGCTGTGCCTGGAGAGAACAACATCCTTGACAGCTTTGTGGAACTTTTCTAAAAACTCTGTTTCAGGAGCACGGCACTTCCCTGAGCGCAATTCACATGATTGGAGTCAGTCTTGGAGCCCACATTTCCGGTTTTGTGGGAGCAAATCTGAACAGTTCAATCGGAAGAATAACAGGTACGTTTTACATGTCAGGACATGATTTATGACCGTTTGATTTGGGTTGAGATAAACACAAGCCAAGATGAAGTGAAAACAAAACCTGAAAATAATCTGGTTGCAATCTTAGTTGCAACAACTGAGTTTTAATCACTAAATGAATGAGATAGGTAAATTTCCTTCTGTATGTAATCCTTAGTGCACGTTTTTCAGAATCTCTAGCCTTTAGACTGAAGTCCTGATAGATTCATAGTATGCATCTGTTTCTGAAGAAGAATCTGTATGACAATGGTACAGACTGTTTTGGTGCAATATACTGTATATATTGTACATTTACAGTATATTTGTAATATACTGTAAATATACAGACTGTGCATAGTCTGTATATTTACTTCTCCCATCAATTGACCTCTACACTATTTTTTGTCTGGTTTGTACTGATGTGATCTTTGCAGCTCTTGATCCTGCTGGACCTACGTTCACTGGCAAACCTCTAGAAATGCGACTGGACTCGACAGACGCTCAGTTTGTCGACGTGCTGCACACAGACATCGACTGTCAGCTGGTTTAATTGTTGCTTTAAAACCTTAAGTGATGTATTTTTTTTTCCAAATTTACCTTTATAGTGGTGTTTATATGTGTTATATGTCCTATCGGTTTTCAGTTCTGGGCTTCAGGGCACCATTGGGCCATATTGATTTCTATGCTAATGGAGGAACAGACCAGCCTGGCTGTCCGAAGACCGTGCTATCACGTAAGGTTTGAGGGACGAGCCAACATGTGCTGATGTACAGTGAGCTGTAATTTTAAAATGACAATATTTTCCTTTATTAATCCTTAAACAGCTGGCAGCTACTTCAAATGTGACCACCAGAGGTCTGTGTTGCTTTTCATGGACACTATAAATGAGACATGTACCAGTCAAGCATTCCCCTGTTCCTCCTATGAAGATTTTCTGGATGGAAGATGCATGAGCTGTGACCGCTTTGGTGCAGCTGGTTGTCCCATCTTTGGTAGGTGGCTTTATTGAAGAACTTACTACCTATGTTCTTCTACTGCTCTATTGATACGCAACAGTGTATCTACACCTTGCTTAACATTTAGACTGATGCATATGTTTGTACTCAAATCAGGCTACAATGTTATACGGTGGAAGGATGTCCTCAATCAACTGAACCAAACAAAGTTCTACTTTAACACAAATGCAGACTCTCCATTTTGCTGTAAGTAATTTTTGTATTTAGCAGAATATCTAGAGTTATGGGAAACAATGCCCTATCATATACTGATATATATATATATATATATATATATATATATATATATATATATATATATATATATATATATATATATATATATATATATAAGAGTGCATCTCAGTACATTAGAATATCACTGAAAAATGCTTTTTAGCAAAAATGGATAATCAGAGAGAGGTATATTATTTTTTCTATTTTTTATAATCAGGTTACAGCTAATAAAAATAATCTCTTTTGTCAAATCAGCATCTCAGCAGATGGAAGTGTGGCATGCTCTAAAATCACTTGGTAAATGGCTGAGCTGGTAAATAGTCAATAAAAGGAGATTTGGCTACAAAAATTCTTCCTGACTTTGGAAACCTCATAACCTGAACCAGCTTAAATTTTGTGTTTCTCCGGTCCACTCCCAGACTCTGGAATAGTTTTACAAATGAAATGTAAAATTTGCCTCCAACTAAAAGTATGACTCTGGATCACTGAGTAAGAGTCCAGTCAGAGAAACAAACTAAACTAAATTTTCTTGATTACTGCTTTTATGACAGCAGCATTGTATGTTTCCACTCTCCACAGATGTTGTCCATAATAAATAAACCATGATATGAGCGCTTAAGCAAAATGTCAACAAAAACAAGTAGTTTAGTATTTGAAATAATTTTGCATAAATATGTTCTGCTCTTTCAGTGACAAACTACAGAGTAGATGTGATGATTTGGAATCAGAAGCCACAGAAGGGATACATGGATATTAAAATCAGTGACGGTACTAATGAAGCAGTGGCAATCATTGAACAGTAAGACCTCTTTTTTCAAACTCCAATTGCTGCCCAAAACTCAAATATTCCTCCATAACTTCATATGTCTGTGTGTTTCTTTCTTTCTTTTTGACCAGTAAAGCAACACAGTTCATGAAGGACACAGAGATCACAATCCTTGCGATGTTTGATAGAAACATTGAGTCAGTGAAAAATGTCTCTCTCAAATACTACTCTGGAGTGGGGTATCATTCCAAACGCAAGCTTCGGATCCTGAGAATCCGTTTCACACCCCTGGATCACAAAAAGAAGTATGCAACATTTTCAGATTTTAGATCATTTTAACTGTGTCCATTCAAAAAAGTTATGTTTTACTTTTGTCTCCAAATTCACAGCAGCTTCTTTTTTCTTTTTTTTTTTTATCTTGTAGGCCTCTTTGTCGTTATGACATTCTTCTTGTTAATAAGAAAGAGTTCACATTCAGGCCTATTCCATGTGAAGAAACCCGGTCCTGAAATCAAGCTGAACCCTGAATCTAGAACTTTCATGAGGACGAATCCTCTGGTTCATCAGTTTCCTTAGGACTGGTTGGAGAATTCATAAGGATCCCAAATGAAAAGGCAAACACTAGGTCAGTCAACTTTTCTAAAAAAGAAAAAAAAAAGAATATGAAATGTGACATATTCTGAAAAATGTATATTTGTTTCAAAGGAAAGAAAGGTACAGAGTTGTATAGGGTGTGTAGAAATATTTGATACACAGAAAAACTGGACTACATTTATGTGTCACTTTTAAAAAGTCAAACTAAGTACATTTTTATTTTCTCACTAAAAATATTTGGCCTCTGACTTTTATTTATATATACTTTTAAATTACATTTCATATTAAGTAAATGTTTTATGTGTTTGCCTTTGATAACTTCACCAGGATTATAATTTTGTATTAGGATGCCACTGACTGACATTGATTGACAGATAAGCTGCTGGTTGTGCATCAGAAAGACTATTTCAGTCCAACTTCTTCTCCATCAATACTGGTTTAATTTCAGTACTTTCTCCATTTCAGTTTATGATGGCAACAATATTTTTCTGTGTTTGAATGGATACATTTATTTCTTCTTGCTACAAAGACATAATCAGCACCTTCCTCACATCACAACATTAGTTACAGTAGCAAAAAAATAAAGGAACTGCTCAGCTTCAGGCCAAAAGACAAATGTATCATGCAATTTGTTTTAGATAAATGTGTCCAAACCTGAATGTTTCCTGGAATGAAACATCCTAATCAAGACTTTTTGTCCACAAAACCAAGATTTTAATAACAAACTGTCCATTTTCCTTTTTAAAAAGCATGAAAAAGATTATTTTCTTGTTCAGTTTCTTTAAAAAGTTACACAAAGCATATGGTACAACAGAAACTCTTGCCCTGGATCCAGTCCTTCTTGTTCATTTCGACATGTGCTTCTTCATCCGCTGGATTTCCATCTTAATCAAAGAAAGACACAGTAACAGATATCAGACATTATTATTTCAAATCTATTCTCAGTTTCACTAAAGAAACTATTTACAGACTAATTTGTACTTCTACCTGTAAAGTTAAGCGAATCCTCTTCTCCTCATCAAGCTCATTCATCAGCAGCTTAATTTCTTTGCTGAAGCAAAAGATTTTTTTTTTAATAAAGTTCAAAAACAGTTCAAATCTATGCTGTTCTTATCACTTGACAATAAATACACCTAACTATATAAGAGATACAATGTATTACTTAAGCTTACTGCTAACTGTTAAGGTAACATCTGGATCAAAGTAAATTGAAGAGGTTGTATTGCCAAAATGCCTGTAAAAATTGTTTAGTCCTACTTGTGTCGACTCTTCATCTGTTCGAACTGGTCCCTGAGGTCTTTTAACTCAGCCTGCAGCTGTTCTACGTTTGGCTTGATATTTTTCTCCGGGCTTCTTGGTCGGGGATCTGAGTTCAGGCTTGGGAGCACTCCTGGATTCAGCACAGCAGAGAGAGCCTTCGGCAGCAGCGAGGAGAAAGACTCCTTTGACATATTCTTGTCTGCAGCCTACGAGACAGAAAATGTCAAATTAAAATCACACCTAATTTTCCAGTCTGTGTCACCAGTTATCAATAATCAGTTTTCCATTAAGGCTCACTTGAAGGGGAGAACAATTCTGACTTGTTTCCTGAATGGTCTCTTCATTTGCTGAAGAGTTCATTGCTTCACTTTGGTTTTCTCTTCTTTCCTTCTCAATCATAAATGTTACCTGTAAATAAAGTCCAGTTTGAGTTTTCTGACACATACAACAGCTTCCATGATTATTTGACCATCTGATTGTGTAAAATGCTTTAAAATAAATCTGACATTTGATACCCAAGAAAGTTTGAAAATAAAAAATCCTTTACTGTGAATACTTGCCTTCAGCTGGAATCATACATCTATCAAGGTAAAGGTAGGTAAAAGGTGATTTTATTTATATAGCACATTTTCAGCAACAAGGCAATACAAAGTGCTCGTTTCCGCAAGCACTTTGTATTAACATTAAAGGTTTCAACTTAATCACAATTGTTGGCGCCACTAGCAATTCCCAACATACTTTTTTCTCAGCCACTCTTCAAAATGTGAAAGACAAGAGCATATACTGCAACAAAATCCACCTAACTAATTTTACAAAAGAGCAATACCAGCATTACCAGCAGAGGTGCAAATAAGGGTAGTAATCTTGTTTAAAACAATCCTTAATGTCAGATTTTTCCCTGACTCCTGATGCGATCTTAACATTCTGTTCACTTTCCTTGTCCTACGGGTCAAAAATGACTCACCCTAACAAAAGCTCCAGAATAAAGCAGCTTACTTGAATTTAAAATCCAAAATCTATTTTGCATGATGAAACAATCTGTTATCAATTCAACATAATTGCATTCATTTTTATCATGTATTTTTTTGTTACACAACACAAAAAGACGATCAACAGTATTAGCCTTTTCCTTTTAAAACAAACCAACTGTCATAAGTTTTTTTTTTTTTTTACACAGTGAAGGTTTATTATTGTAATTATATGAATGTGAAGTAATTACTTCTGAACCAACTAAACTGAAAGGGGAAAAAAGTCAACAGTCAGTAACTTTTTTTGTCAACAGTTCATTCTTTTATACTGTATAGGACATCAATTATGAAAAAATACTTCTCTCATACAACATCCTTCAACATAAAATTTTGAAGATGTTCAACATAAAAACATTTTCGACATAAGATGTTCAACATAAGATGTTAGACATCTTATGTTTAGCATCCAGCAAAGTTATTTTGCAGGACTTATGTTCATCTTGCAGATCAAGATGTTCAAGTTTAAATTCTTATGGTCAAGATTTCGAACATCTTGACCATAAGACAGTATGTGTGAATGTGCAACATCTACATATGGCTTCAGCAAGGAATCAACTGGGGATATTTTGATTTAGGGCACCTTTATATCCTCTATACTGAATTTGTTTTTTATTGTGTCTGAGATTATTTTTTGTTGTGTTTGGGAGCTTGTGTGATGTGAGGGGTTAGCTGAAGGTGCAGGTCAAATACAAGTTCAATTTAAATATCAATCCAGTTTATTTCATGTGTGTGTGTGTGGAGGCATGTGCAGGAGTGTAGGTGTGTGTGTGTGTATGTATTAGAGACAATTTCTGTGTGACCTTTGAACTTTTTTCTGTTGTTTAAATGGTTTTAGAATTCACGGGTCAGAAACGACCCATAAGATAATCCAGGAAAAGTCATAAAATTTCAAGTTGGAAAAAGATTGTTTTTTTCTACAGCTAAACATGCTAGTGGGTCACAATTGTACTCAAAGTAAAGGTTGGATTTCATGTCTGAGAAATCTTTCACATCACTTTAAGACAACCAATAAACTGAAGAGACATTGTTCCAGTTTGTCTTCAATAAAGTCACCAAAGAGGATTTTGATTCTGGTCAAGTTATTAATTTCCGTGACAGAACTCATCTGTCACTGGGGGAGTAAGTGCCTTTGTCACAAGTAAGGAGCAAAAGTAGATATCTTCAGCTGCAATGCATGTCTCTGTGTGTATGAGGTGGCTCAGGAAAGCTAAATTTATCCCAAGGACAGTGGGAACACAAACACACCAGACACACTTTTCAAACAGTGCTCCAAGTTTTCAGAGAGGCGTTGCAGCACAACGCAAACACTTGTCTTAATTTTATACTTCCCAGAGAATGGAGATCTGACTGTAGCGCCTCATCTGCAGCAGGAGCTCTCTGCTCGTTCAGATTCGACCATATAATGGAATCAAACTCTTCTGTGTCTTTGAGAGAAACAGAGGACAAATAATAAAACTCTCCTTGAAGAGAAAGAGAGAGAATATTTAAAAGTTTCACAGTCCATAGTTGCATGGCTTACCAGGAATGAGGGCTGAGTTATAGTTGCCCATCATATTACAGTTGAGCACAAGCAGAAAAAAAGCATGGCTGGACTACATCTCCAAATGACAGGTGAGAACGAGTGAGCAGAGAGAAAACATGCAGAAACCAGTGCAGTCTCACGTCAAATTTGATGTGTCTTGGAATTAGAAGTTCTTCCCAGTCCACTAAAGAGTAAACAACTCCGTTTGGGACCATTAGTTCATCAGAGTAGTAGAATCTAAATGCCGGTGTGACTGTAGAAGCAGCTGTTCCTCATACCACAAGGCTGAACAGATGATTAACAAACGTTGGCTTTAATGCAGAAACAAATTTCAAACTAATTGAGCTAAACAGTTGGTGAGAGCAATGAAGAACCCTGAGCACACACTCACCTTATTTTTACTGCGTCACGACTGATATACAGCAGCATCTGAGGAAACTTGATCCCATCTTTTGTACTCCAATGCATGTTGTGATGAGGAGTGGCTCTGTCACAGCTAAGTTTAGAGCAGGACAGCAAATATCATAGGATGGGGGGCAGAAGGGGTGGGTGGCGTTGGGGGCAATGGCTCCCACAGACTGAGAGACTGATCCAAAGAGAGGAAAGCATCAGCACTGATTTTATTGATTTTATTCTAGAAATTCTGATCCTATTTTTTTTCCCCTTAAAATTTTAAGAGGCTATTTTGTTATGTGGTTTGGTATGAACTGAAACTGCAGTTCTATTTTTCAGGGAAATGCAAAAAGCATGTAAAATGAATATTGTTCTTTTATTCTATGAACTGACATGTCTCCAAAATTGTAGGCAAAAATGTTGCATTTATTTGCAAAAAAATGAAAAATGGTCAAAATAACAGAAAAGATGCAGTGCTTTCAGACCTCAAATAATGCAAAAGAAAATAAGTCCATATTCATTTAGAAACAACAATACTAATGTTTCAACTCAGGAAGAGTTCAGAAATCAATATTTGGTGAAATAACCAGGTTTTCAATAAGGTTCAGTGCAAGACTCTAATTTTTTTCCAGAGCTGTATTGGCATCTCCCATTGACAATGTTCTCCTTTCAAAACTCTATGAAACAAGAATAAAAACACCCCAAATTTTAATGTACTTAAAATGAATTTGCTGCACTTCAATTGCATCACCCAACGTGGGCAACCTTAAATGATAGCATCTTGTGAAACTATGAATTAATATTACTTATACTGTAACTTTTTCATTTTGTCACCACATAAACAAATTTAGATTTTATTAGGTTTGCATGCAATGGATTAAAAAACACTGGCACATTATGAGGTGAAATGTCTTATCACCTAATTGTTTGAAACTTCTTCACTTTTCCATGGATTGCAGTGTTCCTCGATCCGTCTGTTTACTAATGTTCTCTCAAAATCCTCACAGAACACCTGGATATATGCTGATATCTTTCTTCACGGTTACAGATGTTTAGATCAGAATGAGGCGTAGATTCCTGCCACAGACATGACTTTAAATACTGGCCAATAAGTCTGAAAAAGTACTGTACAGAAATGGGATCTGTTCATGAAGGTGTCCTGAACAATATTTGACGTGAATAGAAACTTTATAAGTAAATTGGATTAAATGGTTAATATAAAAAAAATCACAAATTCCACCTTTCTTAGAAAAAAAACACAAGACATGCTATTCAGACAGGAAAGAGTGAACAATGTCGACTTTTAGCTTTATTTTATTTTGTAAACAAAGTAATACTGATCTATCAAGTCCATATCGAACAGATTTGTGAAAAAAAACTGTTACATTTCTAGTTTTATTTAGAGTGAATCTCTGACATGATCAGTACAAGTTTATAAAGTCATGTATCAAAGTAAATGTTTGATTGCTGCTTGTAAACAAAAAAAAAAACTGATAGATTTGAAGTAAAACCAGGACTTACAAGGACTTTTAAAGCAAACGTTCCCAAACCATATATATGTATATATAAAATAGGTAACAGTTTGAAACGTTCTAAAACTGAGTACAGCAGTAGTTAAATGAAGCAAATGAAACATCAGGGATAACATCTTAGAAGGGACAATTTCACAACATACAAGCTGGTCAGGTATGAGGTGAAGCTGTACAGGTTTGTGCAGTCCACCTTCATAGAGCAGTTCTGTACTAGAGGTTTCAGTGTTTCTCAGCTCCACAATCACAATTTGGTGCCTATATATAAAGAAAAAAAAAGCAGAATACAGTTTATCTGAATACAATTATTAGGAATTTACTTGCTAGATATGTCTTATCTAAACACAAAACATAAAAACATTTTAATACTAAAGTGTATTGAATTTTGCATAACTCACCAGTTTGTCGCTAGCGTTGCTGATTGGGTCTACTGTAAGGCGCACGCTGACGCATCACCCTCATGTTGCGGTATTTAGACACGATGCTGTAGCTTTTTCTGAACACTGGTCTCTGATTTGGAAAAGGACGCGGAACTAAAGTCTCCTTTTAAAAAAATTCAATTATTAGTTGAGGAGTTTTATGGCCTTTCTCAATATTTACACAGAAAGTCAAAGATCTGCAAACAGTCAAGAGTTCCACATACCATCAGAGGTCTTCTGATATTTTCCGACATGTCTGGGCCCGTATTCCTTGAACCACCAGGAATTCTGGGCCGCTGTAATAGCAGAAGGTGAGCATATACATTTACAGAATTCCTTACAAGGCTAAATTCAACAATTACTGTTGAGGTATTCACCACCTCACTAACAGGTGATGTATTGCTTGTGCTTTTTATCAACAAAATTTACAAATGTACTGATTTTAATTTGTGTTGAGGAAAGGCTTAAACTTTGATGATTAGTTTATTAAATTAACTTTAAGATGTTTTTCTCATCACTATCTTTTTCAGGTCACCTGATCATATGTTGCCATGAAAGCACAACCTTAACACTCTATTGGTTGAGAAGGAGGAATCCTTTGGCTTTCACAATGTAAGAAAATTCATTTCTTAAAATTTATAATAAATTAAAAAATTATGTGCTCTGCATCTTTGGATCCCGTCTGATTTTTTTTTCTTTGTTTGCTGCCCTGGGTAATTTTAAGCCCAAAAGGGCTTAAAAAAAAAAACCCTCACCCAGTCAAGCTAAAATATGTAAAATGACTTTATTCGCTTACTTGTATTGGTCCTGGTCTCCTGAAAGACAACCTTTGAGGTCTGTCATGCAACTCATGATCGGGTCTGGAAAAATAAATGGTCGGATGTTAAAATGCATCATTAGTATTACAATAAAATAATAGTTATGGTCGCATGATTTGTGAGCATATCAACACAAAGTAGAGCACATCTGAGAAGAGGGAAAAAACACATGGCTTCATATTTTTTTTAACAAATGGATGTATGTGGTGAACATGTATTTAGAGCTCCTCTTAGTGCAATTACAGCTGCAAGTTCTTCAGGTCTGCCTTTACCAGCTTTCTAAATCTAGAGTGAACTTTCTGTCTATCCTTCTTAGTAAAATAGCTTAAGTTTGAACAGATACTTTTCAAACATGCAGCAGTTTTCCCACATAGGCTAAAGAGTTTAATCTTGACCACAACACCTTCTTCCATGTTCGTCTTGTCTCCAATACAGTCACAGCAAACAAAAAGTGTTATTGTTTTCTTGGGGTGATGGTATTCTTGTTGTGCTTCTTTTGTAAAGGTCAAAATAACACAAAAACAATTCAGGTGGGCGAGTCAACAAATTTTCCCCATCTAAACTCTGGATCCCTGTATAGTCCTAGTTGCTTCTTTGACTAAAGTTCACATTTTCCAGAGGATCAGAGTAAGTGAAAAGTCCAGTTTGCAGCTGGGCCACATTCTGCCCAACTTTAGCCATGACCTGCTGTGTTCCTTGGTCTTCATTATACTCATTGTTCTCTCATTATCTTTAACAAATAGCTGGATTTATACTGAGATGAAATTACAAACAGTTAGATGATTTATTAATTAGATTAGTAAAATTTTATTGTTAAACTTATTACACTGTTGAAATTTTAATAAAAAGGCAAACAATTTGTGCTACTTTGTGTTGGTCTGTCACTTCACATCCAAATTTCAGACAATTAAATTTATGTGAACTGTGATATTTATGGTACCTAAATACTCTTTTATCTATGTATCCATGTTTTCTGTCTTCAGGTGATCTGGAATCGGTTGAGAGGCGTCTATGCGATGTGCTTTCCCCATCTGAACTGCGGTCTAGAGTTTAAAGAAAAAGTGTTTACACATCAAAATTTCAAGCGTAAAAATGAAAGTCAAGCAAATCATGTTAAGCCTGTTGATTGAAATTTGTGTTTTATGGTACTCCGGACCACAGATGGAAACCACATACCTGTTCTCGACTTTGGGCTCTGACCTTTCAGAGGCGAGCCGTCTTTGGACGAGCTTGGTCCCGGAGGCCAGTGGGACAAAACAACAAGATCACGTTTCTCTATAGGAGAAGATCTGGGGAGGGACCAACAGTAGTCGACTTTTAGCTTTTACAATTGATACAAGCAACAACATTATTGGCCTTTAAAAAAAAAAGAAAAAAATCAAGTGGAAAAAATATATACTACCCTGACCAGATTTTAGAGGTAAAACACAATTAATTTGAAAAGCATATAACTGTTTGAAGGCAGATATAATTATAGACCAGGGGTATCCAACTCGAGTCCTTGAGGTCCAGCAACTTTTAGATGTGTCTTTGCTTTAACACACCTGATTCCTACAATCAGGTAATCAGCAGGACTCTAGAGAACTTGACTGCACGCTGAAGAGGCGTTTCAGCCATTTGACTCAAGTCTGTTGACATGTCTACAAGCTGCAGTACCCCAGCTCCAGACCACAATTGAATACCCCCATCATAGAGCCACACATTATTTAGGTACTTACAAAAACCCAGGAATGTCCATGCTTCTTTACTCCTATTTTTGTAACCTGAACCAATCTGAGTTGTCTCCATTTATTCATCAATTGTTAGAGTAGTCAAATCCAGGCGGGAGGTTAAGATACTGGACTGCATCATATCAAGTCTTCTTCCTTTTTAGAATCACAGCATGGGTGTTTGGACACACTTCAGATGAATTTATCAGTCAATCCTTGACGTTTCTCTGTTTTCTCCAGTAATGATTATTATTCCAGGGGCTCTTAAAATATGTTTCTTGTCTAAATGAATTTGTCTTGAAGACTTCTGCAATTTGAGAGAGATGGGGAAGCTGGATTATTTCTTCTTCCGAGTAAGAATCTTAAGGCGGTTCACTGAGGACTTTGCAAGACAAATGAGCCTTTCAAAAAATGTATTCCTCTTCAGAATAAGTTGTTCGTTCATACTCTCTTTTGAGTTCTTCCTCCTCTTCTTCTGGAAAGCTCATTTTTGTTGAATAGTCATGTACTGAATAAGAGTGTCTTGGGCTTTAGTGCTGCAGGAAATAGAGGGGTGGTTATATCTTGGTTGGATTAGACAGCATGTAAATTGATTGACTTCCATCTCGTTTGATGATATGTTCTGTTTGAATAGATTTAGGTCACATAAGATGTGGAGTACAGAATAACGGAGAAAGCCGATCAATATGAAATCACTGAAAAAAAATACAACATGGTGGTGTGGTTAAATGGTCCCCATGTGTGCATCTCCATGTCTCAAATTAAAATAAGACTTGCAAGTTTTCTTTTGGGTTTTCTCATATTTGTCCTGTCGATTATCCACAGTCCATTGAAGTTTTGACACGCTAGTTCTCCTTTGAGTATTTTTTGTGGTCATCTCTGGGTAGTTGAAATAATGCATCTCGAAACATGAGTTGAGCAGAAAAATCTAGCTCCAAAATGGTTAATATTTGAAGAACTTCTGAAAATGTGGAGCAAGAGCAAATCCTGGTAAAATTCTTGTGACTCGGAAGAAGCAGAGCCCTCCATCTCAAGCATAACGTATTAAGTCCAAATGGTAGGTTTTGATTCCTCTTCACTGTATGAATTCTGAATGGTACTGATGGCTAAACATCAAACTTTCACACATCAGCTGATGTAAAGCTTTATAAACAGGAGCTGGTTTAGAGATCCTTCTTGGGTGATTCTTCCCATTACTTGTATTTCCACTTCTTTAAATAGACATTTGGTTTCTTCAAGATGACAATATATCATTCCAGAAGTCGACAATTTTTTAAATAGGTTTTGCTTTGCCATGTTAATTATTTTACAGTTAAGCATAACCATTTGTTGCATATTCCATGCACAATTGGTTCATGATTAAGAGTGGATTTTTTTTCTTCTTGGGAATCTCTTATACTGGCATGCATATTATGGGATTTTTCCAAACAATTCTTGTAATCTTTTAAATGGCTTGCTGTCTCTTGGCAATGGGCACATTTCAACTTATAGTATTAATTGCAGATTGATCCTTACTCTTGGGAATTTGTTTTTCGAGCATGCCAGTTTCTTGCAAGATTAGAAGCCATGAATAGTTGTTGGCTGAGCACAGCAAGCAATGTTGATGCATCTCTTATTCAAACCTTCATTTATGGCTGATTGACTTCCAGTAACTTAAAGCTGTTGAAGATAGTTTGGGTCATGGTTACATCATCTTGAGTCCTCTCCTTACCAAGCACAAATGGAGTTATGAAAGTTTGGGTTCTTTAATGAGACTGAAGAATTTTCCACAGCATGCAGAGAGGCTTTTTCAGGCTTTAGGCTCAGAGAGGATTTCCAATTTCTCCTCTTCATACGGTTACTTTACATTTGTTAGGACTGACAAGCCAGCTTTAACAATGTGGTTTTGTAATTGGAGAATAAACCTTCTCTTCATCCAACGTCAAAGGTAGGTATTTTGAGATGTATGTAGCACGCAGTTTAGGGTGTCATTTCAGAATAATGGTGGCTTTGCCTCCTGAAATGGTGGCTTTGGCTGTTGCAAATATAGCTCATGACATCTCCACTTTCCACTGCTGGCACCCTTTTCACACATTCTTTCTTGACCTCTTAATCATCATCATCAAGCCCCTGCGAACAGTGCTACAAGGAGAATACCATACCTGTGTTTGCTCAACGACCGGCGTGATTCCACCTGTTCTTTTCCTGTGTCAGAGTCTCCTGAAGATTTGCTGGCTTTGTCATCCTCTTCTGGTGGAGACTGTTGTGGTGTCAACCTTCTCGGTTCCTCGTTTTTTAAGGGATCAGTCTTCATCTGGAAACGTCTCTTCCTGATGGCAAGAACAGAGCTGACATGGCCCCGTGCAGCAATATCGCCCAAACGAGGCCTTGGTCTTATAGTTGGAGGAATTCTAAGCCTCATGAGAGACGCTGCTCTGAACCCCCGGCCCCTGGTTAGGTAACTTCTACCCCTAAAGGCGAATGGTGGGCCACCGAATGGCCTGGGAATACTCATCAGCTGGGGTCTCTCTCTCCTAGGGTACTTCGGGTTGCCACAATACGGTTCAGGGCCTGAAGAGGGCATGCTGATGTTTGATATTCTCCTCTTGCGGGGTCCTGAAACATTTCTCTCAGGAAGGTTCCTGTAGAGTGATGATGGTGGTGGAGGGCCGCTTTTCCATGGGGGGGCTCTGTAGGCGGGCGGGTGAGGGGCATCTTGTGCCCTCTCTCGACTGTGAGATCTGCTGCCTTGCCTCTCCACAGGACCGCGTTGCCTCCTGGAATCTTGTTGAGTTGACCACCTGCACATCCATCAAACAATAGAAAAATCATTATAATGACAGATCCATTGCCATTTTAAGTGGGACGTGGAAGGTTTAACTTTTATCTTTAAAGGCAGGCCTCTCTGAAGCCATGACAGAATGAAACAGGTAGGGGGAGGTACACTTTCAGAGACCAATTACAGAAGTAATGCTCCTCTTAATCCCATTTACATCAGACCCAATTTAATCCCATGTAAATAATATAATCGGGAGCAGGGCAGAGCTCATCATTACACCTTCTGCGCTTGGACAAGTGGCCAACCTCAAGCCTCCTCCTGACATAATTTTACCCAGCTTGGGGCGGTGCTTCGTGCTTGTACCTCTCTGTACATGAGCCTCTCCCTGGCACCTCTCTGGGGCTCCTCTGTGGCCCAGAGGGCCGATGCTCTCCATTGTGCAGATGAGAGAACGATCCAGGTTCATTCCAGCGCTTCATGCCATGACCCGACTGTTCATAGGCTCTTTCTCTTGGATGAGGATCTCGAGGAGAAAAAATTGACTGTCTTCTGTATCCCCTAAAAGATCCTCGGTAGGGAGGCGCAGATCCTGGTCTCCTGTCAGCTGGGTGGCTACGAAAATGTCTTGGGGAAGGTGACCTATGACCTGAAGGGTGGCCGTGAAAAGGTGGACCCCTTTGACTCTGGTGTATGTGTGGAGGGTTATGAGGGGATGAGCGATGTTGAGGGGTACGGTTCAGCCGCAATGGAGACTGCCTGCGATGGCTATGATGTTGGTCCATTTTATGAGAGTGGGATTGGAAGGAATCCTGACTGTGAGACCTCCAGTGACTAAATCGTGGCTCCCGTTGAGGTCCCATTTCAGGAACCCTTCTGCCCACTGGTGCTGGTCTGCCTCGTCCTCTGCCTCTGGATTCTCGCCAGCTAGGAGGGGACTTGTTAGGATATCCCTGGTCATCTCGTCGACTCTTTGAGTTTGGGTTGTAACTTCCTTCATTGTGTCGATGAGAATCTTCATAGGGTCTGACAGAGAACAAGAAATAAAAAGGTGGTTTGCAGCAAATACTTTAAATCCTTTCAATTTAAGAATATTAATCAATAACTAATAACAAAATACCAAAAAGGAAAACTAACAAAACATCATCATTTGAAAGAGGTTACCTGGGCTTCAAGCGTGGTGGTCCATAATGTGTTCGCACCATCTTTGGAAGAGAGTGTATAACCTATGGACTAATGGTGAACAAAAAAATTAAAAAACTTATACTACTGGTCTACTGCAGACCTTTACTGAATGAGGTTCTCCTATCACAAAGAATTTCTTAGATTTTAGTTTGAATTATTAGTCAATGACAGTAATCGTAACATTTCCTTTAAAAAGAAGTACCAGTCAGTTTGTTTTATTGGCAGTTTTTTACAAATGAGTAGTCTGCCAAAGATTAAATATTCAGAAAAAAATCAATCAATAGTACAGATTGAATACCATTACTGCTGGGTATCTGCAAGTTCCAGTGAATTTAATTTAACACTTTTGATATTGATGTCTCCATATTAATTGGCATATAAAGACATTTATTTTATTTTTTAATGTTAATGCTTATATTAACATTTAAAAATAAACCCAAAAATAACAGTTAATGTTGTAATTTACTTAACTGATAGAAGATAGATAATGTTAGCTTACATAACAATAATGTTCATTGAAAATTGAGATAATTTCATTTTTGTCTCCTTCTGCTGGTAATCAGAGGGGTTGTGTCTTTAATTACAGTTAAACCCAAGCCCTAAAGAGAAATACAGACAATTTTAACTCAGCTGCCAGACTCCAATAAATTGAAGCTGAACAATGGTTCTCACTGCCTTGGCTGCAAGCAGATTAGAATATTCACCCTAAATCGTAGATAAACAATCAGATAATGGATTTAATAAGTTTTATGGCTAACCATTGTTAAAAACCACTGAAAACATTTTTGACCATTAACATGGAACTAATCCTAGCTAGGCAAATCATTAATTTTCAAAACTATTGTAACCTTTGTTCAAAGTTCCTGCCACATCTCTTATCAGTTGTACTACTACTACACCCAGTCTGATTTGTCTCAAGGACTAAACTGGCAATTCTGCTACTGAATGCACCTCACCCTCAAAAACATTGAATCTGCTTTAAGAAGTGGCAAGTTCTAGAACCTTTTTTTGATAACATAAACATACCAGAGACATAATTTGTTTTTGTTTTTTAATTACTCTTGTTAATTACTCTGGGCCTCATATTATCGGTCCAAGGGACAAAAGCATTTTAGGAAACATTCCAACTCCCAGTTATTTCACATGTCCAACGCGAGGAATTACATTCTCAGTCAGCTGTACAGTCACTCAAATCTGTACTGCAACGTCCTATGCATCAGTCACATCCGCCGTCATAAGTAGCGATGAGTCCTCGTTGTATGTGCATTTCAAATGTCACAGACTGTAATTAATTTAGGGTAAATTTATCATCACCAAGGTAAAATACTACAAAGAAACCAATGTGCTCAATATGGTGGCGGCTTATTATGTTTCAGCTCCCATTATGGTGACGGGGGTAGGGCACTCTTCGTTTCCATTTTTAGCTTTTGACTCTGGACAGCTGTTAAAATATATCCCATGAGTCGGTGACGGAATTTACGCTGGTAAAGACGAAAAATCAAACCCAGCTTGCTTCCGTCTAATATAAAGCGGAAATGTTACGTTTTCCTCATCAATAACTGTTATACATCGAGCTGATAGGAAGCTAAGAACGTCTAGCCGTTAATTTAGCTAATCGAAGCTAGCTATTATAACCCTCGACGAAACGGTATTCACAACTTTCATGTGTGTTATTTAAATATTTTCACACCATGTTAGACATAAAAACAGAAACGTCCTTTTGTTTCTCTGATAATTGACTAATTTATTGCGAGTATAAGGTGAGGAACTTACCAACTGCCAACCGATACCTAAGATGAAAAGCTACGTGCGACACTGATAGCCTTTAGCTCGCCTCATACCAAGGTATTTCGACAAAAATACCTCACAGCGCCACCTGACGTCTGGGAGGAAAAACTGCGTGTTAATGTGACTGCCGCAAAATCGATTGAAATACTTTTCTTTTGTATTATTCTCTCTAAAAGACAAATACCAAATGTGAATAAGAAACTCACTAGGTTTTAGTAAAAAAAAAATAGAAGATAGACTATTCGTATGCACTATATTACAGCAACAAATTTGTGTATATTTTATTGAGATTCCACATAAACTAATAATGCAATGCACTTTTATGGAGTAGAATGGAAATGACAAATAATAGAATAGAAGACCAATAAAATCATTAAAATCAAGAGTAAAATTATGATAAAGAGGGGTTTAACTTTAAAACAACATCCTAATCTCTAACTCAAAAAGCACTGCTTTATTTGTAATTAACTTTAAAATTATCCACAATTCTTTTTCTGTCTCCCACTTGACTATGATGCATTACTTTCTGTTTGTAACATTACTAAAGGTAAGTTCAAGGGCTACTTCAAAAATGCAACAAATCTTAACATCCATAGACCAAATGTTTTGTTTACTTTCTTTACTTACGTAATTTTCTGCATTTTTGCAGTTATTTTTATGGAATTATTCTGCTCCCCTTGTGTGTTTCAAACACAGAAACACTCTTAGACATGTTGGGCTGCTCTCTTTTAATACTTTTTTATCTCTGCAATTTCCGCATATTTCTTCGGTCATAACCAACAAATTATTCATACAGGAAGAAAATTGTTGTCAGCAAATAACCACTCTAATATCCAAAATAGTCCATAATTAATGGCTGATAACAGAAACTCAGTTTTACTGAACTAAGGTAAGAACTAAGGTTGTAAAGAGCAAAAACTGAGTTATTTTGCTCTTTTATTTAAATAACTTAATATTTGCTGTATAGTCCAATATGATTCAATGATTCAATTTCTGTAACATAATCAGAAAGATGAGTGAATTATATCTGCACTGTGAAATTTCTTAGAGCTCACAGATCTTGCTGGATGCAATCAGTTTCACTTGTCAATAATTTTGTTCTTTGAGCATTTGTTTTTCTAAAGATAAACTTAGATAATCAGTACAATGTGATTGCATTTTGCATTTAAACTACCAGCTTGAGGAAAACTCACATTAACACACACAGAAACTCACAATTCTTATTGTTACTCTTTGTTTTTTATTTAGATTCCTACAGGATTACATAGTGATGATCATGCTAACCATGCACAAACAAGGTCTACAGTGTTTGCATAATGTAAGCTGACCGTGATACAATTGAGTTATGGTATATGAGCAGACCTGAATATAGTATTTTTCTACATCCATGTTTTAGTTAGTAGTCAGAATGCACATGTTTATAAGAAGATAATTTAATGTGCAAAACAGCACAAATGCAATGGTTATGCTACATATGTTTTCACCTGGGTAATATCACCTTCTATTTTTGTGTTCAAGAAGTTTAAATAGCTCAAGAGCCTAAAGTATATTTCCAAGAATGCTGCACACACTTGCTGAAATAAAACAAAGAATAATAACATGAACCAGTCACTTCTTGTTAAGGCATGTTTTTCTAAAACTTAATTTCCCAACAAGGAATATAATACCATGTTGGGTAACATGGTATTATATTTCACAACTTATTGTGAAATATAATATTATTTCACAACTTGCTCAAACAGGTTTTTGCTGAAGCAGAATCTTTATTGTTCTTGCACTAGACAGTGTCAATCCAAAGCCAGTCTTTTGATTCTGCATGACAGATTTACCAAAACTATGTCCAACAAAGCAAGTTGCTGCTACACATTGCCTTTAAAGAAACATGAAATTGTCTCAGCTGTCAGGATTTTTCTCTGCTATTTTTTAATTCATAAATAAAGGATGACTGGCTTGCTTCTTATACCATCATAAATTCATCCCTTTCACTGAAAAAAAATATGAATGTGCTATTGGTTGAAAAGTTGTGCAACATCTTTTTTGACAGCCATCATTTTTGCTCTATGACATGCACTTAGGGGAATTATTTCAATAAGTCAACAGTTCCATGACAAGGTTTTATAGGGTGAAGAAGAAAATGGTTCTACCAGTTAGGGAGGAGTCTTGCTTTCATACTTTCATTCATTAATGCATCCATGGATAACACAACTTGACAGAGCACATTTCTCCACCAAGTTAGTGAATATAATCTAAACATTCAGGAAGATGGTAGAGTTTGAAATGCAACAAGAATATCAATTCTTAATAGTTCAATATTGTGTCAGGTCTATGAGAAATCTATGCAATTTATAACAAACTAATGCAAGAAAGGAAACCTATGTTTTCTAGTTTCTATTCTATCTAGAACCCTGATATTTAATTATTATTTTTTTGGTTGTTTTCTACAAGCACTTTTGAGTCAGCCTCATTTTTTAAAATCAAAAACAAATCATTCACAGATAAATTCACAAGCTCTATTATTAGCTTACAGTGGGCATTTTTTAGTCAGTCTCTATGGCTCGATTCCCGTCGCTACAATCACACAGGTTGTAAAGTCATAGAAGAAAGTTGATACAAGCAGAAAAGGAAGAGTTAACCAAACAACTAAACGCTTAGCTTGTTTGAGGATGGGGGTGCTACCCCTATGAGCTTTGAATCTGTCATGGGACTAACAACCCCTCGTATCAGGTTCTTATTGCAGTCTCCTATGGTGCTCTCAGAAGGGAGCTTTGTGTGTGTGGCACTCCCTGTCAGGTCCATCAAGTCCTTCAGAGCCTGATTGTGGCTCATGAAACCGTGTTCCATTTCATTATCTGGCGAATACTCAGGGATGGATATTAGTTCCTCCTTCGAAGCTGGGCTGAAACACATTGTGAGAAAGAAATAGAATTTAAATGAACTTTAAATGCTTAATTTTCCTGAGGCAGCCTACATGTTGTCTCATGTCTCAATGGCACACCCTAATGATACCGTAAATACAATCAAGAGGATAAAGCTACTAAATAGTAGCAGTGCACCAATTGCAGTTGTCTGGCTGCAATTTGACCAATACTGTTTTTTTTGTCTGAATTGTTGCTAAAAACATTAGTGATTAAACAACATCTAAGACATCAAAAGGATGCAACATTCTTGAGCCATTTTGCCAAGAAGATTGGGCAAAAATTTCAATCGCTAGATGTGCAAAGCTTGTTTGAGTTGGTCCATTGTATAAAATCAAAGCAAACGCATTAAAGTTTTTGGTTCTAACACAAAGAGTGCAGGGAAAGTTAATAAATTATTAATATTTCTGTGAGGCACAGTATGTAAGGACTCACCTAACATCCATCGATTGCACATCATCGCAGGATTCAGTTCTTTTCACATCTAATGTCTCCAGCTTGATGACTGGTGGTGATAAATGGACCAATGGTACCATTGTCAAAGAGGATCTACCAACCCCATCGTCAGGACCCTTTTTAGTCTTTTCCTCAGCTGAGATTGATACATTACTTTGCTGTTTGCTTCCTTCAGAGGTCGGATGGCTGCATTTTAAGGCACTTCCTTCACCCTTCACTGCTCCATTCATCACACTCCCCTGTCTTCCCATTGCTTTAGTGTCTTCTCTCAGTTCAGTCGACTCTTTCTGAACTTGTGTGGTGATTTTGACAATGGATCTGTGCTGTGTGTTCAGATTCAACTCCATCTCTCTGCCCTGCTGTTTCAATGTGCTGGCGCTGGCCTCTTTGATGATTTGGCTTCCACAATTCTCTTTACTGGTTTGTTTTTTCTCAGGTTTCTTTTCAGGAACACTGTGTGCCTGTGTGACTGGGTGAGTGTTATTTTGAACTTGTTTACTCTTCTCACTGTCCATCTGTGTTGCTGTTGCTGCTTCTTTCTTGAGGGTAACTCTTTCCTTTGTTTCAACCTGCAGCATTATCTCCTCTTTCACCTGAAACTCAACCTTTTTGCTTGCCTGCTTGATGACATGAGCTTTGGTAATTACATCCCCTGTGAAAAATATAAAGACATTACAGTGGATTTAAAATGTTCTTCCAATATTTCTGGGTATTTTTTTGGTATTGGTTAAAAATGCAGAGCTTATAAAGGTGACCAAAGTCATGGAGAGAGAGCAGGGATCAAAAATAGCCTTTCTTTCATTATGAAACTCAACAATAAAATTGTGTTAAGTTGCACATTGCAGGTCAGTTCCCTACACCATGCTGCCAAAATGTTCCAAGGGTATTTAGAAGAGAGGCCTGGCTTTACTGTCAGCTCCCATAGTACAGCTACGCAGTGAGGGATGTCCAATCAGCATCAAGAGGAAAAAAATCCTTCACTGCTGCTTCTTCACCTCCACATTTCGCATCCACAATTATTAGGCATGTAGCTTTTCACACATGAATAGCAGGTAAGAAAACCATCTATTAAAATTGGTAAAATCATAGGCATGCAGTTTTTATTTTTGGCATTGGCTTAATTGACCTGTGGTGGATCTCAGAAGTTTTCGGACCCAATTTAAAATGTCACTTTTTTCACCTTGTAATATGACATGTCATTATCTGAGAGATTTGGAGAACTTTCAAAAAGCAGAATGAATAAATATTGCTAAGACAAGAGATGGAACACTAATTGACTTCTAGCAAATACCTCTGCACACTTTAACTTTTTCTATAAACAAATATATAACAAAAAGGTTTTTTAATAAACAGATTAATAAATCAGTTTTTTTCTGGATTCATGTGTGAAGTATTTGAATGTACAGTTTTGAACAGCAGTGGTTTTTGAGGCGTTGGCTGCTTCTGGACGTAAAACCGATTACAAAGAGATCAAGAAGCAGACACTGAAAAATTAACTAAATATATCATAGTTTTATGACATCTATTTCATATTATCTAACAAGTGAACAATATTTTGCAATGTTGCGTAGTAATTATGTAAACTAGTTTGCCTAATAACTGTGCATAATCAATCTGTCTTGCTGAATGCAATTTGCAGTCCCCATGCAAAGTCTGATCTTCACCAGTAGAGTTTTGTTTTGTTTGTTTGTT